GGGGGGGGGAGAAAATATCTCTTCTCCAGTGCATTTCCAAGCGCCCATGCAGGGGGGGGGCTGCTGCCCCATCCTGGGCCACCGGTTCTCCGGAGTTGGGGAAGCTGCCCACGCCACCCCCTCCCCACCCAGAGCCCCCCACCAAATTTCCTTAAGAAACTTCCTTTAAGCACACCCATAGATGACCTTCAAGGTCCCTTCCAACTTTACTATTATTATTATTATCTTTTAGCACAGGGCATGGAAGGTGTCACTTCCTGGGTACCTGCCAACTTTATGCTCAGAGTTTTTTTTCCCGTCGGTAAAAAGTCAGAAGGATTCCCCCCCCTGCCCTCCCCCGCCAGGCCAAATCCTAAGCCGAGCAGCATTGATTTTTTTTCAGAAGGATGCAGTTGGAAAAGCGATCCTAAACAGGAGTTTCTCTCTCTTTAGGATCAGGGGTGCCCACCAGGATGTTGCAAATGCTGGAGACTTTGAGGTGATGCCCGGGAGCACCGCCCCCCCCCCACTGCAGAGACCCCCCCACACACATGTGCCCCAACCAGCCAGGTGCACCCACTGGGCCTGAATTCACCCATGTTAGAGAGTTCACAAAGCACAAAGCACATTGCATCAAACCACAAACTAACCGGGGATTGGGTCCACACGGAACACTGAACTAAGAAATCCAGTCATTTTGTGCAGGTAAAGGGGGGGGACAGCGCTGAGGGCCGCCAAGAGAGGGCGGGGGGATTTATCCTTCTTGCAGGAAATGTCTCGCGGCCTCTGACTGGCATTTATGCCCCTTTGCCCCCAACTGGGCCTGATTTTAGATATATATATTTTTTTAATCCCGCCTTTATTCTTGTTATAAACAGCTCAAGCTGGGGAACGTCCCAAATCCTCCTCCCAAAGGTGCTTCCATTTGAAAGGCAACCGGACTTTCTGATTTTTCTTTTTAAGACGTTTCGCTTCTCATCCGAGAAGCTTCCTCAGTTCCCAGGAATGAAGTGAAGAAGCTTCTCGGATGAGAAGCGAAATGTCCTAAAGACAAACCTGAAAGTCCGGTTGCCTCTACAATAAAAGTTCCTTCGGGACAAGCGTGATCTGGAAGAATGAATAGCTAACCCTCCTCTTTCCTCCACCGCAACAGCCCTGTGAGGTAGGCTGAGAGAGAGAGAGAGAGAGAGAGAGAGGGAGGGAGGGAGGGAGGGAGGGAGAGGGAGGGGGAGGGGGAGAGAGCGAGAGCGAGAGAGCGACTGGCCCCATAATCCCCCGGCTGGCTTTGATCTGAGGTGGTCAGTGTGTTTTTCAAGTCTGAAAAATGTTAGTCCATCTGCTCGATTGGAGAGCAGAGGAAAGACTCGCACGCTGAACCTCAGAATAAATTTCTCCCGCTTGAGCAGGGGGCTGGACTAGAAGACCTCCAAGATCCCTTCCTATTCTATTCTAAAATCTGTCTATTCTATATTCTATTCATTTCTATATTCTATATTCTATTCTATTCTACAATCTATTCTATTCTATTCATTTCTATATTCTATATTCTATTCTATTTTACAATCTATTCTATTCTATTCTATTCTATTCTACAATCTATTCTATATTCTATTCTATTCATTTCTATATTCTATATTCTATTCTATTCTACAATCTATTCTATTCTATTCTATTCTATTCTATTCTACAATCTATTCTATATTCTATTCTATTCATTTCTATATTCTATATTCTATATTCTATTCTATTCTATTCTACAATCTGTCTATTCTATTCTATTCTATTCATTTCTATATTCTATATTCTATTCTATTCTATTCTCTGCCCTGCTCCTGTGGGGTGCTGCCGTCTTGCCCCCACCGCAGCCCAGGGGTGAGGCTGCCTGCTGCCCCCTTGACCCCCCTGGGACCATCTGCCCCACATTTGAGACCACCCAAGGGCAGCCTTGAGGCTCTGCCCCCTCTGCCTGGAGATGGGGGGAGCGGCTGCAGGGAGTGGGGAGGGAGGCAGGAGAGGGATGGGCAATTTCTCCAGACCTAGGCATGGGGGGGGGGGCGCTTCTGCTGAAAACTGGGGGAGGCCCATGGCCTAAAAAGAGCAGCGTTCGGCCGCTGCCCGAGGATCGAGTCCCTTTATCTGATTCAGAATAAAACCGGGGGGGGGGGCTGGGTGCCCTCTGAGGGAGCTGGTTTCATTATCCAAAGAGGCCCTGATGACATCACCTAGTTGGGTCGTGCAACGTCTGCAAGAAGACCACCCAGCTCAGAGAGCACCAGGGACCCCACAGTCCTCCCCCCTCCCTTATACAACTGATGATGTTACCTAGTTGGGTCGTGCAACGTCTGGAAGAAAACGGTCAAGCTCAGAGAGCATCAGGGACCCCACAGTCTTCCTCTCGGCAAACCCCACA